CTCTGCGGGTCCGGTCGTCGCGCGCAGTTCTACGTCCCTTCCCTGTCCGGCAGTTCCCTCGGGCTCCCTTACTGGCCTCCACGTTCCCTCGTTCTCCAGGAACCTGGTTGGTGTCGGCTGTCTCCAGGACCTCGGCGTCACCACCACGTTCCCCGGGCACGAGCGGTTCGCTGTCTGTTCTGAGGCTGTCTCAGGTTCCCCCCTTGCGACGTTCCCCCGGGACCCGGTGTCCGGTCTGTTTACCCTACACACCGCTTCCCCCCCGGTTGGTGCGTCCTCCCAGGTCGCTGCAGCTTGCTCGTGTCGGTCCCTCACTCACCCGTCCCTTCTCTGGCACCACCGCTTAGGTCACCCTGCTCTCCCGCGTCTGCGTCACATGTCCCAGCACGGTCTTGTCTTAGGTCTCCCCGCGTCGCTCCCTGCCCTTCCTCCCTCGACTGCGCCACCGTGCACGCCTTGCGTCGAGGGTCGGCTCCGCCGTGCTCCTCACTCCTCCTCGCTGCGTCCTGCTACTGCCCCCCTTCAGACCCTGCACTTGGACGTTTGGGGCCCTGCCCCCGTCCCCGGACCGCGCGGTGAGCGCTACTTCCTTGTGCTTGTCGACGACTACACGCGCTACACCACGGTGTTTCCCCTGGAGCGGAAGGCCGACGTGCCCGACGTTCTTCTCCCGTGGGTTGTGGCTGCGCGTCTCCACCGCGGTCTCCCCGTGTTGTGTCTCCACTCCGACCGTGGCGGCGAGTTCGCCTCTGGTCGGCTTGGACAGTTCTGTCGTGCGGAGGGCATCACCCAGTCGTACACGTTGCCGGACTCGCCACAGCAGAATGGGGTTGCTGAGCGCCGCATCGGCTTGGTCATGGAGGTCGCCCGTACCTCCATGATCCATGCCGATGCCCCCCATTTTCTGTGGCCGTTCGCTGTTCGCTACGCGGCTCACCAGCTTAACCTGTGGCCACGCTCCCAGCGGCCGCAGGTTTCGCCGACCCTCCTTTGGACCGGGTCCCCCGGTGACGCGTCTGCGTTCCACGTCTGGGGCTGCCTTGCTCACGTTCGTGCCTCTGGCACGGACAAGCTCACTGCCCGCACTGTCCCCTGTGTCTTCCTCGGTTTCCCCCTGGACTCGTCTGACTGGCTTTTCTACCACCCGCCGTCTCACCGCTTCCTCCACTCTCGTGACGTCACCTTTGATGAGTCCGTCTCCTTCTACCGCCGCTTCCCTCACCGAGGTCTCCCAGTTGCCCCCCCCCTTTTCCTTGCTCCCTCTCCCCCGGTAGCCCCTGCCCCTCTCCCGCCTCGTCCTGCCCCGTCTGGTGTCTCCCACGTCACTCCCCTCCCGTCGGTTGTCCCCGTTGAGGAGTCTGCTGACTCTGGTGGTACCCCCGGTCCGTCCTTGCCGCGTCCCCCTTCCCCGGTGCCTCCGCCCCCACTGTCGCAGTCGCCGACCCCGCTGCCGCCGCCGTCGCCGTCGCCGCCGCAGCCGTCGCCGCTTTCGTCGCCGCCGCCGCCGCTGTCGCTGCCGCAGCCGTCGCCGCTGTCGCCGCCGCCGCAGCCGTTGCCGCCACTGCCGCCGCTGCTCTCGGCCCCTGGGGGTGCTGGTGTGGAGGAGGGTGTTCGTCCTGCGGCTTCTGGGGGTGCTGCTGGTGTTGGAGGGGGTTCTCGCTCTGGGGGTGTTGGTTCTGGGGGTGCTGCTGTTGAGTGTTCTGCCGACGGTCGTTCTGCCTCTGCTGGTCCGAGAGTTCCGGCCCAGCCGTCGTCGCCGCCGCAGCAGCCGTCGCCGCCGGTTTCCGCTCTCCGCCTGCTCGGCCTTCCCTCCCCGGACCGCGCGCCGGTGTCTCCCCCACCGCCTCCTGACCTCCCTGTCTACGGTCCTGTGTTCCCGCCGCCAGACTCGTCTCCGGCCCGTCTTCCTCCTCGTTCCCCTCCTGTGTCTCCTCCGCTGTCCCCTGACCCTACCCCTCCGTCTCACGTTTGGGCTCGCCGTCCCTCCCGTGCTCGTCCCGTCTCTCCTGTCCTGCCCACCCACCCTATGTTGCTCCGTTCCCACTCGTCTCGTCCTCCCCTCCTCCCGTCCCCTCCTCCCTCGTCCCTTGCTGTTGCACCTCCTCCGTTCTCTGACTACCTCCGTGCTGCTCGTCCCCTTGTCCCTCGGGTCCTTGCCTCTCTTGTTACCGACCCTGCTGTTCCTGTCTCGCGCCTTGACGCGCTTGTCGCTGCTGTCGCTGACTTCGCTTCTACCCGCCGCCTTGACTACGCTACCGCTCTGGTCTCTGACCCTGCCCGTCCTCTGTCCGTCGGGGGTGCTCCTGCCCTTGGCAGTGACGTCCTAGAGGACAGGCAGTACGAGCTGGCTTTCCTTTCCGAGGCTGCTCCCCATCTCTGCTCCATGCTGTTAGTCCCTGAGGGTGACCCAGACGCCTTCGACATCCCGACCCCTCGCACCTACGCTGAGGCCACCTCGGGACCTTGGGCCTCTCAGTGGATAGCTGCCATGGAGCAGGAGATGGCATCTTGGAGATCCACCGGCACTTACGTCGACGCAGTTCCCCCGCCTGGGGTGAACGTAGTCGATGGTCGGTGGCTCTTCAAGGTGAAGCGCCCCCCTGGAGAGCCGCCTGTCTTCAAGGCGCGCTACGTGGCCAGAGGTTTCAGTCAGCGCGAGGGGGTTGACTTCTTCCAGACCTTCGCCCCGACCCCGAAGATGACCACTCTTCGGGCGCTGCTACACGTAGCAGCACAGCGTGACTACGAGCTTCACTCCCTCGACTTCTCTACTGCCTTTCTTCAGGGCAGCCTACACGAGCAGGTCTACCTGCGCCGACCACAGGGCTTCACTGGTACCTTCCCTCCTGGGACCCAGTGGCTTCTCAGGCGCCCGGTCTACGGCCTGCGTCAGGCTCCCCGCGAGTGGCACGACACGCTACGTGCCACGTTAGCAGACCTGCAGTTCTTTCCGTCCTCTGCTGACCCTTCACTGTTTGTGCGTTCCGGCCAGACTCCGTTCTACATCCTTGTCTACGTAGACGACCTGGTCTTCGCTACTCCTGACAGGGACGCACTGGCCTCTGTGAAGGCTGAGCTGCTGAAGAGACACACCTGCACTGACCTTGGAGAGCTGCGTCGCTATCTTGGCCTGCAGATCTCTAGGGACAGAGCAGCACGCACCATCACTCTGACCCAGTCACACTTGGTGCGTCAGGTCCTTCAGAGGTTCGGTCTTCAGTTCTCCTCCGCACAGCCCACACCTCTACCCGTAGACCATGGGCTCTCTGCTCCCGTTCCTGAGGAGCCAGTAGAGCCCAGTGGCCCCTACGCAGAGCTGGTGGGTTGCCTCATGTACCTGATGACTTGCACTCGCCCAGATCTCGCATACCCTCTCAGCATCCTGGCTCGCTTTGTGGCTACAGGCAGACACCGACCTCAGCACTGGTCTGCCGCTAAGAGGGTTTTGCGTTATCTTGCTAGTACATCAGGCATGGGGTTAGTGCTAGGAGGACGCAGGCCAGTGGTCCTTACTGGGCACACAGACGCTTCTTGGGCAGACGACGCTGAGACGCTCAGGTCGTCGCAGGGCTACTGTTTCAGCCTTGGTTCGGGTGCTATCTCTTGGAGATCCACTCGCTCGTCGTCTGTGGCTCAGTCTAGCTGTGAGGCTGAGATCTACGCTGGTGCCATGGCGGCACAGGAGCTCCGCTGGCTGACCTTCTTGCTCACAGACTTAGGTGAGCGGCCTAGCTCTGCCCCGGTCCTGTACGCTGACAACAGGGCCATGATACTCCTGTGTCAGGAGCCTCGGCTTGAGGGCAGAGCGAAGCATATCCAGCTGCGGTACTTCCTCCTGCGCGAGCTACAGCAGCGCCGCCAGGCCCGTGTAGTTCACTTGGCCTCAGGTGCCAACACAGCTGATATCTTTACTAAGGCGCTTGCGCCTAAAGATCATCAGCGGCACTGTGTACAGCTTGGTCTTGTTCCTATAGCTGCTCCCCTGTTAGGATCCTGATTGTGTACTCTCTATTATATATGCTTGTCAGACTGGCCTTGTGGCCTTACCTCCAGTGGCTGGACTAGTAGTGCCACCCTGGCTTGCTTCAGTTTTGGTTGTATTCTTGCTGACTGGTCTCCAGACCCCTGCCTCAGTGGTTGGACTAGTAGTGCCGCCCTGAGCTGTTTGCTTCTTGTTTAGTTTCACCCCTTGTCTAGCCTAGGGGGTGTGTCAACTTATACATATTATCTATGTAGAAGTTATAGGCTAGACTGAGGTATGCTTCTAGTGAGTACAACCAACTAGTATTTGTTCTAGGTTTCCACCTCTAGTAATCATTCGTTTCTACGTTAACAAATATCTGCCCTCACACAACCCCCAGCAGCGCATAGTAGCCTAAAACCTGCAAAGGGCCAGCGCGTGCCCTCACAGTCCCCAACACACACCACACTAGCCCGAGATTTGGTGAAAGCCAAAATTTGCCCGCCCAAGCACACATGGAGCAGGGGAAACAGGCGGACATAACGGCAGGGTCCACGAATCACGCTTACAAGATTCAGGGTAGTCCCCCTATGCTATGCCGAGGTGACAGGATCCACTTCAATAGTAACACTGAGCGATCAGAGTTTACTCACAAAACATCCCTGAAATTTCAGGGGTAAGTCTAAAAAAATCCCTGTCTCATCAGGGTTAGCTCCGAAAAAAGTCCTGATTTTACCCTGAATCAGGGTAAAAAGCCTGCAATCTGAGGCCCTGCACGCAACCCTCGTAAGCATTGTTCAGACAAAAACGAACAGTGAAACTCCTTTACCCTCGAAAAGGTACTACCGCATTGGTAATGCTCATGAATATTGGCAAAATGAAAACCAGCAAATCATCAGAAAAAACAACTACTTCCTCATCGATAAAAGAATATGACTATACTTGTGAAACGACAGTGAAGCGCACGATGTAGGGCGTTTTATTTCATAAGGAAGCCCATCGATCAAGACCAATACAAGAAAACAAAGTTTCCACTTAGGTAAATTTAGAGTTTTTTTTCAGAAGGAAGCGAGCGGGCAAAGGCGCTTGTAATTCATAAGCAATGCAGTAAGTCGCACAATGCAGCGATGCGAGGGAAACCCCTTACAATCTAGCAACAACGATCCAGAATAAGAGGGGCAGCCGGGGGATGGAGACAGGGGGGGGAAGGGAGAACAAGAGAGAATGAGAGACAGTTTGAGAGAGGGAGAGTGAGGGAGAGGAGAGAGGAAGAGATTGAGGGAGAGAGGAAGAGAGAGAGAGAGAGAGAGAGAGAGAGAGAGAGAGAGAGAGAGAGAGAGAGAGAGAGAGAGAGAGAGGGGCAGAAAGGGCAAAGTGAGATGTATGAACCAAGAGGGGTATTGTGAGATGGGCAAAGGAGTGTGCGAGAAAGGCAAGATGGGAGCGGAAGGGAGGGAGTGCATAGATAGAGATTAGGGCTGAAAGAACGGGTACAGAGCAATGGAAGGGGGGGAAGCAGGGCTATGGGAGGGGGGGAAGCAGGGCAATGGAAGGGGGGGAAGCAGGGCAATGGGAGGGGGGGAAGCAGGGAAATGGAAGGGGGGGAAGCAGGGCAATGGGAGGGGGGGAAGCAGGGGCATGGCAGCTGAGGAGGGGGGCTCGGGAGGGGGGGAGAAGCAGGGGTCTGGATGGTAGGGAGGGGGGTTTTCTCTCTCTCCCCATCCCCCTCCCATCCCCTCCCCATCCCTTCCCCGTCCTCTCCCCATTCCCCTTCCGTCCTCTCTCCATCCCCCTCCCGTCCTCCCATGGGGCACGCATCGCACGCTGTGGCTCCTCCCTCACTGCCGCCTGGATCCTCCCGGTCTGCCCCATTTTCAGTTTGTGCCTCAAGGTGGCCACTGTGCCAAGGGGAATTCTCCAGTTCTAGGTGTGGGTAAACTGGTCAACATCCTGGGTTCTCTCCTGTTCCCTCCTCTCCTGTTTCCTCCTCTCCTCTCCTCTCCTCTCCTCTCCTCTCCTCTTCCTCTCCTCTCATCTCTGCTATTCTCCTCTCCTCTCCTCTCCTATCCTCTCCTCTTCGTCTTCCTCTCCTCTCCTCCCCTCTCCTCTCCTCTCCTCTAATCTCAACTCCTCTCCTCTCCTCCCCTCTCCTCTCCTCTCCTCTACTCTCCACTCCTGTCCTTTCCTCTCCTATCCTCTTCCTCTCCTCTTCCTGTCCTCGTCCTCTCCCCTTCCTCTCCTCTACCTCTCCTCTCCTCTCCTCTCCACCCCTCTCCTCGTCCACCACTTAGCGCGATAACAGCAGATTATCCTAGATTCCGTTGCTGAGCGGTCCCCCGTCCCCCCCCCCCCCCCCCCCCCACCTCAACGTTTTCCCCGCTGTTCACCGTCTCCCCCCTTCCCGAAACGTCCCTCCTTCCATGCACGCCGTTTAGGACCTTCCCTGCCCGCCGCAACCCCCCTTCCTAGGCCGCCGCTTACCCCCCTGCTTGCCCACCATTCCCCCCTTCTCTGCTCGCGGTTTCCCCCTTCCCAGCCCGCCTCCCGGCCACCGTTCCCTTGGTCTTTGGTAGGGGGAAGGTGGGCTCTGGTGGTGGGGGGGGAGGAGGGGTTTTCTGTGGGGAGAAGGTGCGCTCTGGTGGGGGGGAAAGGTGGGCTCTGGTGGGGGGAAAAGGTGGGCTATGGTTGGGGGTGGGGGCAGAGGGTCTCTGGAGGTGGGGGGGACTGGGACATGTCGGAGCTGGGGAACGAAGCATGGGGCTCGCCGCCCGCTTTCCCTGTCTCTCTGTCTTTCCCATCCTCAGCCCATCCCACGTCTTCCCGTTGCCAATCCCTCCCTATTGCAGCGCCAATCTCTCCCTATCCCGTCGCGTCGCATCACCTAGTACCCCTCCGTTCCACGCGCTTGCCCTACCCACCTCTCTCCCATGGTCCCCTCTCCCATGCTCCCACCCCCCAATGCTCCCCTTTCCCGTTCTCCCCTATCCCATGTTCCCCTCTCCCGTTCTCTCCTCTCCCTTGCCCTCTCCCTAGTTAGGGGGGATCCACGCTCCCTTTGGGGGCGGGAGGAGGGCTATGGGAGGGGGGAAAGCAGGGCAATGGGGGGGGGGGGGGAGATTGCGTGCTGGGGGAAAGCGGGTACGCGGGAATCCGGACGAGGGTTGGGTAGCGAGAATGCAACAAAGCTGGCCCTAAAATTAGTGGGAAATCGGGGAAGCGGTTTGACGGGATGCGGGTGATTGGGAAGGCGATTATAGTATGCTGCAACGGGTAAGCCGGGAAAGAGGGAATGCGGAAGGCGCATCGCTCTCACGGTGTTAGGTGCACGAAGCAGGAATGGGAAGCGAGCTGCGCGCTATATGCAACGGGCAGCGAGTGAGGTGCTTGGCGCGCTGGCGAGGTTACACCTTTGGCCTCACTCTTTAGGTCTTCGCACAGCGCGTCCTATCGTGATTGTGTTGCGTGCTGGTGAGGGACTAGCATGCAGTGCAGTAAGCGATTTGGTACGAAATAGCTGATAGAGTTACGGGAACGCAGTTTCGCTACTACTAAGCCACATTTTTCCATCGAAATAAGAGGTAAGCACTGTGTTCGCGAGCAAGAATGGTGGGGAAGGAGCCATAGCCACTGAGTACAGAGTAATAATAAAAAAAGCAAAAGCTTTGGATCTTGGTGTGGTGGGGGGGAAAAGCTTTGTTTGTTGGGTCGCTGCGTTGGGGGGGTGTCGCATAGTGCGCCACCTCCCCACAATCTCAAAATCGCACCCCTCGGTTGTGTATTTGGTTACCAAATTTCTGTCGCGTTTGTTTTCGTGTTTAGTACAACTCAAAACCTTCGAGTCTTGAGTTTGGTTTGTCCGCTCGCTTTAAAGCCCAGGTCCCAAGTTACAAGGCGCGAGCATTTTTGTTAACAATTCCTGTGGGGGTCTGAGTGGTTACCCTGTACAAATTTAGAACAGTGAACAAGTGGGGGGAGGATGGAGAAGGGAAGCTTGTGATTGGACGCTGGGGGAAAACGGGTTTTGCCAACCCTAGCAGACTCCAACCGAGGGAGGAAAGGGCCGAAGCTTGCAATTTGGGACTACCAGAAACCATTTTGTTTACAAAATGGAGTCATGTGTAGCATTTCCCGGCCTCCTCGCTAGCATAGTCCTCTCGTCACCGTGCTCGCGCCTAGCGAGAGCGTAATCTGGCTAGCTTTCCATGACGCGTCGTGTAGCATCCCGCTCCCCACAGCCCGCTACCCTAATTCTAGGCAATTAGGTTTAGGAAATTTCTAAAAAACCGTATGATGCACTGGCGCCCACGCGTAAATTCCCGCTTCCGCCTCTAGCTGCGTCGAGCTGCCTGCAGCCGCCCATTACCCGCTCTCCCCCGCCCTCGGCGCTAGTTGGCTGCAAAGGGGAACACACTTTCCGCTTTTCCCCGCTTCGAGCCCGCGCGACCCGCCGTCCCCGCATAGCTCTTCTCAACCCCGCGGCCACGCCGTCTCACGCTGCGTCCCACAGCAAGTACCCGAGCAGGAGGAAGAGAGGCGATCAAGCGGTGATGGAGAGAGGCGATCGAGCGGAGATGGAGAGAGGCGATGAATCAGGGAGTTCCAGAGGCGATAGAGCAGGGAGAGAAAGAGGCGAAACAGAAGGGAGGGGGAGAGCCAATACAGCAGGAAGGGAGTGAGTGAGGCGCAAGAGCAGGGAGGGATAGGCGATACAGCAAGGCGGAAGAGAGGCGATAGTGCAGGGAGGACGAGAGGCGATAGAGCAGGGAGGAACAGAGGCCGAGAAAAGCAAGGAGGGGGAGAGGAGAGAGAGGGGGTGGGGGGTGAGGGAATGAGGTGAACTGCGGAAAGGAGGGAGGGAGGAGAGAGAGGGGAGAGGAATGAGGTGAACTGCGGAGATGAGGGGGAGACATGAGAGTTAAGAGGCGCCATAAGACGGACCGGTCTGCGGCTTGGGCGGCAGACCAGGAGAGCGGGGTGAGAGCAGGGGAGGGACCTGGGGCATAAGAGTGCCCTCAGAGAAGGGGGAGTTCGAGCAGGGGAGGCGTAGTAGAGTGAGAGCAGGGAAAAGGGAGAGGAGTGAGATCATGGGATGTGAAAGAAGTGAACACAGGGGAGGGGGAGATGAGTGAGAGCAAGGGAGGGGGAGATGAGTGAGAGCAAAGGAGGGGGAGATGAGTGAGAGCAGGAGAGCGGGAGATGAGTGAGAGCAAGGGAGGGGGAGATGAGTGAGAGCAAGGCAGGGGGGGATGAGTGAGAGCAAGAGAGGGGGAGATGAGTGAGAGCAAGGGAGGGGGAGATGAGTGAGAGCAGGGGAGAAGGAGAAGAGTGAGAGCAGGGGAGGGGGAGATGAGTGAGAGCAGGGGAGGGGGAGATGAGTGAGAGCAAGGGAGGGGGAGAGGAGTGAGAGCAGGGGAGGGGGAGATGAGTGAGAGCAAGGGAAGGGGAGAGGAGTGAGAGCAAGGGAGGGGGAGATGAGTGAGAGCAAGGAAGGGGGAGAGGAGTGAGAGCAAGGCAGGGGGGGATGAGTGAGAGCAAGAGAGGGGGAGATGAGTGAGAGCAAGGGAGGGGGAGATGAGTGAGAGCAGCGGAGAAGGAGAAGAGTGAGAGCAGGGGAGGGGGAGATGAGTGAGAGCAGGGGAGAAGGAGAAGAGTGAGAGCAGGGGAGGGGGAGATGAGTGCGAGCAGGGGAGGGGGAGATGAGTGAGCAAGGGAGGGGGAGAGGAGTGAGAGCAGGGGAGGGGGAGATGAGTGAGAGCAGGGGAGGGGGAGATGAGTGAGAGCAGGGGAGGGGGAGATGAGTGAGAGCACGGGAGGGGGAGATGAGTGAGAGCAAGGGAGGGGGAGATTGTTGGTGCAACCCTATGGCTTGCACTCGGCTTGTCGTCCTTGTTTGTGTGTGTGCATGCATGGCATGGAATGAATTGTGAGTCTATGTCATTGCTATCCAGTGCTTGTGTGTGTGTTTGAATGGTGTATCACAATGTGGTTTGTGTCGGTCAAGACATTAGCGAGTTTTTACAACTCGCATGTCAAGTCGTCGTTTGTGTGTCGCATGTGTTTTTTCTATTTTGTCGAGTGTGAAGTGTCCATCGCGTCGCAGGTGTGTGCAGCAAGCCCCCATCAACTCAAGAAGAATTTATCTTGCAGATCCAAGACCAAGAGCTCAGGATTTCAAGCCCAAGGGACGCGGATAAATATTAAATAGTGAAAATAGTAACGCTACTTTGTATAGTGTTACATTTCACTTGGTGTAGCCCCTTGGAGGGTTGGTTTCGAGACTCTTCGTGGTTGGGGAATCTATGGTGGTGTACCACCAATCAGGACCTTAGCTCTTGGGGTATGTAGAGGCTGGGAACCATCTCCCTCTCGAATTCTTCTTCCTAAGTTTTTTTTTGTACTCCTAAGACTATAGTGATTGCTGTACCTCCTGCCAGTCAAACCGTCATAGAGTCGTTAAATCTTCATGGAATTTCA